GCTTTCAATTGTATCACTGAATATGCTTTAAAATTTAGGTCCTTAGGAATCGAATTGTTCAAGTTTTTTTAATTAACCTCTTGAGTGTCTTTTAGACTTGCTAAAGTAACCAAAGGCCTGTAAGACATTCGGTAGACATTTATGGCCGTTTGCACCGAAAATTTTAAGTGGAACTTAGCTTAAAATCCACGGCAACGATTATTGAGATAATGGTTGCTATGGATTTTAGGCTACGCTTAAGCTAAGTTTTGCTTAAATTTGTCGGTGCAAACGGCCATTACTCTTAGAGCCTCCTGCATTAGTCTTTAACAGCCTGGCCCTCGAAAGTTTTTACGCGTTCTTTTAAGGGGTAATTTATAATAATATTTGGATCGCTCAAACAGTTTAAGGGTTTTTAACGCTTTTAAGTCTCTTTTAATATCCTTTTAAGGACATTTCATAGTCGTTCACCTTCTATTATACCTAGTGGAGATAAAAAAGAAAGAAATGGAGTGGGATTTATGGTTAATAAGAAGGTACAGTCAAGCGTTATGAAAGTAATAAACGACTGTGATAGAATCATAGCAATGAAAGTAGATGCATTACCCACAACAATACTAGCCAGTGGTCATCATGAAGAAATAGAAAAATTGGAGGAGGAGGTTACGAGAGTGGCTGGAAAATGCGTACTCGGAGAAAGGAATGAAAGAGGAAATAAGCTGATTGAGTTTTGCAAAATAAAAATTATTGTAATAAACACATTGGTTTGAGAACAATAAAAAAAGGGTGGTTACAAGGGTTAGTTTTCCGATTGCTGCTCAGAGTCAGTAAGCAGGGGAAACAAGTGCAATTTTTTGGTGTAGACCAAAAATTCAGGTTCAAATTAATTCACGTTAATACAAATTCGCGTCAATTAATGTTCATTAACGTTAATTCAGGATAATTCAAATTAATTCACTTTAATTCAATTAATTCTCGTTAATTCAAATTAATTCAGAAGGGTGTACACCAAAAATTCAAAGTGTTTCCCCCGGATGTCAAGAACTTTAACGTTTGGTTAAGTCAGTGTTGGGATTTTTCGGTGTGCCGGAACCCAGTTGAACCCTAAGATTAAGATTTTTCTTTAGTTAAAGAAATAAAATTTGTAAGGTTTGATATAAGGTTTAATTTTTGTACAGTTGAACTAGCTAGGTAAGGGGTAAGGCACACAACAGTTAATTTTTGTAGGCCCAACGGGGGGGAACAGCATTTATTTTTGTGTGTGTCCGAAACTAAGAGACATAGCAATATTCACACATTCTTTTCGCTGCAGATTTAGAGATACGACTTAAAAGAGTAAGGAAAGATGTGCTAGTAGAAAATGGAATTTGGAAAATTATTGGACAAGGACGAAATAGGATGTAAAATGGAAAGAGAAAGCGGAACACCAAAAACGGAAGAAAGTGTGAGGTTTTAGCAAGGGGCCAAGAATAAAGAAACCTTAGATAACAACAAAAATGATAAATTAGATGGAGGAAAGAAGGAAAGCTAAACATTTATCTTTAAGGACAGATAAAGGAAAAATATTGTACAAAAAACCTAACATTGAACTAAGAGAAGAAATGTATAAGGGAAGAACATGGTTTGAAAAGGTATGTAGGGAAATCGAAGAACTAGAGAATTAATTGATATACAATAAAGTAAAAAAATACGCTAGATAGGAAGAATGGAGGAACTATGTCAGTATAGAAATAGAAAATATCAGGATGGCAAGTTGTCGACAGAAGAAAGCGAAGTATTGGAAAGATGGAAAGCATATCTGTAGGAATTATATCAAGCAAAGAACAAACCAACACAGATGACAGTGGAAAGCGTAGAGAAAGTGGAGAATAACAATATCGGGGAAGGCATTCTATCAACGGAAGTAAAGGTAGCCATAAAAGAAATGAAGGATGGGAAGGCGGAAGGAGTCAATAGTATCCCCTTAGATTTATTGCAAGTGGGGAGAAACTGTTGGAAATACTAAAGAGGAATGGTGTCAACTGGAGAGAAAGGCGAGCAATAGGAAACAAAAAGCAAAAATCAGGGTTGGCTGTAAAAAGGCGGATTGGTTTAATACCGGAAGAGGAATCGGAGAGGGATGCTGTTTATCACCAACTCTGTTTAATTTATACAGGGTGACAATTTAAAAACTTACCACCCCCCATATCTTAGTAAATAAACGAGATATTTAAAAAAATCAAAATCCGTTTCGGTAATTTGGAGGGGGAATCACAATGACATAGTTGGCGACGTACCCCCTCCAACCCCCTGCGCCCCAGCCACCCCAACTTTTAAATCTTAAATAGTGACCCCCCATGTGTGATACGTCTTTGGAAAGCTCTGAAAAAATGCTTTCCAACCATACCAAATAGCATTACATTTAGGTTAGTAATTATCGTGCAAATCAAAAAATAAACTAATATGATACATTTGAATTTAAATAAATAATAACTATTTAAAACGCAACCGGCGAACATAGACGAACTAAGACAGAGAATAATTCAAGAATGTCGAAATATTGCAAAACCAACATTTGAAAAGGTTCGACAAGAGTTTGAGAATAGATTATAACTGGCGATCAAAAATGAGTTGCTGTCAAGTCGGCTTTGGAAGTTCAAGTTAAATACGATTTTCCATGTTTATTTTTTGATTTGCACGATAATTACTAACCTAAATGTAATGCTATTTGGTATGGTTGGAAAGCATTTTTTCAGAGCTTTCCAACGACGTATCACACATGGGGGGTCACTATTTAAGATTTAAAAGTTGGGGTGGCTGGGGCGCAGGGGGTTGGAGGGGGTGCGTCGCCAACTATGTCATTGTGATTCCCCCTCCGAATTACCGAAACGGATTTTGATTTTTTTAAATATCTCGTTTATTTACTAAGATATGAGGGGTGGTAAGTTTTCAAATTGTCACCCTGTATGTAAAAGACATGGCGGAAATATGTTGGAATTGGGGAAAATATGGTATGAACATCGCAGGGAAAAGGATTTGGGGATGACATGATTGAATTTGCCTATGATTTTTTTAAGATTTTTTAAAGAGCAATTAATCTGCTGTACAACATAAAATATGCATATGGCTGATATACAAACAAATGAAGAAATTCGTGATTCAATATTTAGAAAACAAATGAAATCTAGTATGCCTTGTACTGAAGGATGCGCGGTGCCTGTTGTGTTATATGGGTAGATCGTATCACAAAAATAAGTCACACAACGGAACATTGAATAAGTTGATATAGGTCTCTAAGATGCGAGCGACTTCCGGTATAGAACCGTGTCAAAGTTGAAAAGTCAACGTTTCGCCCACTTTCGCAAGGGACCTCATCAGGTCAAGAAACCAAAAAAACAATCCAACAAAAATAAATTATATAAAACTCTTTTCCCTATAATAATGATGAACCGTTTTCAATATACAAGTAGAAAACTCAAAAATGGTATCTTCTCTTCCACGCCCAACCCTCGGTTCGCTACCTAGGCATCACATACCTAACCTAAGTAATCTGAACAAGTTTCTAATGGAGTCGCTTAGCTCTCTGCTCACGCACTCTACACCCTCTCATCAACCGTTCATTGACTGGACTAATTTAAACTATTTAAAACCAAGTTTCCTTAAACTGTTAGTACCCATTTAATCCTGGGCAAATTCCTCGGAAAAAGTAACAATTCCTTTTTGGGTTATACTTGAATCACAAGTCGAATACGTTGATGTGAGAATTGCTTTAATATTTTAATTAAGTGCATTAAGCCTTGAAGATGGGACTAAATATAGGTACATGGTTTCCTCCTTTAGTCCTTTAGACTTTCATAATGGAGCAACCAAATTAACAGTTACTAGGTACAAAAACGACATATAAAAATCACTTTTTCGACACCATCAAGTAAATTAATGCACTTATAATACCTTAAACTCACTGTTAATTGTTCAATTTCGCATAGGATCGGAGCCTATTTTCTAACACGTTTATAGCTGCACCCCCAATACGTACGTACCATCATCACTCGTGTAACACTACTGACAAAATTGTACCTAATAATATTAAAATCAAACTTTCCAGAAATGATTCAACACGATATGACGTATTCGTACAGATGATTTATTACCTGAATTTCAACAATAGAGCGTTATCAGAATCTATTTTACTAAATGATATAGGTACTTTTATTGTAGAATTCTCTACTGCCATTCGTTTACTGTAATTAAAAAAGTCGTTTGATTTGCATTAGGGAACGTTTTAGTCATATTATCAACCCTTTGCGATGAAGGTGCAAATTTTAGTCAAAATTTTGGTAAAAAGTAGCCACACAAAGCGCTATTGCATTTGGGGATTTTTTTCAACGAAATGTTGGTTTATATGCAAGAATTGTCGGATTTTATGTTTTCAGAAGAACACTGCGTTGGCTAAGGCTGTAGTATATAGTGAATTTTTCTTAAGGGATTTAGTTCTATTTTGACAAAAATAAAAGGGATTTCGCTATGTCAAAAAAACGCTGGCGAAGGTAATTGTGTCAATGGATTTTTTCAAAAAGATGTAGGTAGTTATTTTTAACTAAGAATTATGAAATTTTAAGGTTTCAAAGCTTATTCGCTTTATCAATAGAACACCGCTGAAAGCTGTTGCTTTTATGAAATTTTTTCGAAGTTGTCTTTAAGCGGAAATTTTTGAATTTTAGGTTTTCAAAGCGAAGTCGCTATATCAAACGATATTATGGTGAAATTTTTCAAAGGCGCGTAGTTATCTTTAGGCAAGGTTTGGCGATTTTTAGGATTTAGAGGAATTGCTGGCCAAGGGTGTCGCACGTAGGGGATTTTTGCAAAGGCATGTAGTTGTCTTTAGTTAAGTGTTCCAAAGCGAAATCGCTACATCAGACGGCTAAACCAATCGTATTTAGCGAATTTTTTCGAAAGAACATTTTTTGCCCCCTGTCGCGTGGTTCTGTCACCAAAATGTAACCCTCGTTAGGAACTTGCATATATACGGGATGAATAAAAAATGACTGTCATCTTTTCTTTATTTTGTTCCTAATCCCTAATCATTTCAAACAGTTATGTATAAATTGAACTAGGTATGAGTTCCCCCAGATAAAGTCAGACGATAGAAAAAGGCACAGATACATGTATGCGTTAATACATGCTTTCCCATCTTAAAATTACTATTTAACAATATGTATATGTCTATGTCAGGTATCTATATTAATTTACATTGGAGAGCATTAGTTTATATAAAAAAAATAACATTAAAGTTAGCGACTAGATGGAGCAAGTCTACACAACGGTAGCGGAATGTCAGGTGGACGTCCTCTTCTTACCACACGAATGGTAAATGCCTTAAAGTGCTGGTCTTTGAGAATCAAATACGCACTCGTACAGGGTCTTCTATAGATCGTCACCTTTTTTTTTGTCATCGAACACCAGAACACCCTGTAGATAGTGCGAAAAATAACGACGCAAGGGGTTATCGGACAAATTACGTATGTCTAGAAATGTTGGACGTCATTAATGGCCTTATAACAGTGCAAAATGAAACAATCAGCAATACACGCAAAATGAATGCCTTTCGCCAGCAAATCTGTCGCCATCAGCGAACATGCGGTATTGCTGATTGATTTACTTACTGTGCAAAATATTCGGACTGCTGCTTAGTGCCGGTGGATGTAGGTATGTATTAATCATCTAGTCAATCACATTTTTTTTACCTTATCTCTAAATTATACTAAAATTTGCTATAATACACCGATCACATCCTGTAGTCGCACAATGCGTCTTAAAATCTCGATTCGTCACCGTCACTAAGAATAACCTCATACTAGGGTTTGAGCCGTTTAAAACCAACGCCATCTTGACCGAGCTTCAATTCTTCGTAGAGAGTTGGATTGACTTCTTGCGAGAGAGGCACGTGTAACGGTTCCTGCTTCCAACCCTGGCCGCCTGAAGAGGAGGAGACCGCGATGCCATTCGCCGTTCCGTTCGACATCGAGCTTTCCGATTGTCCCTGCGGTACCTAATCGAAAAATTTGACCTGGTTCTCACCTTAAATATTTACCTGTATGTGGTCCATGTTCACCTCACGGAGGTAGCTCGGGTTTTCAAATGCCACCCCTCCGGAATTCTTACCTACCAGTAACCTTTTGGTGCGTACAAACCAAACGGCTGCGGCGACAATTGCGGCGACTACAATCAGCGCGGAGACGACTGCCACAGCGACTCCGGTATGGGAGACGTTTTCGTCTTGGCTGGCAGCTAGCGTTATGTATTTGTCGCCGGCGGTGAACTTGATCGCGTCGCTCAAGGTCGAGGTTCCTCTGTGGTTGCCCGCCTTTATCACGCACTCGTAAACGGCACCCTCCAATAGTCCGCTGATCTTGTAGTGCGTTTCGGGGGTGTCGAAGCGTTGCGTGGGATTGCTGTCGGCGTGTACCAATTTCCAAAAGATCCTGTACATCTCAACGGTGTGTGGGTTTTTAACTGGGGGATCCCAGAGGACGTTTACCGAGTGGGCGTCCACGGGCTCGACGCGAATATTCTGAGGTGGTCCCGGTAGTTTGTCGCGGCCTTCGTGGAAGCAGCTCATTATTTGCTTGGTGTAGCTAAGCACGCACAGTTTGTTGTTGAAGAGAGGTTCGCCTCGGCACCAATCCAGGCACCTCTTCGGCACCCCCCACTGCGAACAGCAACTGCGATGATCGGAACCATCAGCCGCGCACTTCATCAGCTTGTCAAAGTCGTTGATGCACTCCGGCTTGTCGATCACCGAGTCGATGTCCAAATAGAAACTGCAGGCCACCATGCAGGGCGACGTGACGTTCTGCTCAATGCAACACTGGGTCACATTGTTCGAGGTCGCCACATTTCGAACGCGCAAAGTCACCGCTTGCGTTGCGACCCCGAACGCATTCTCCGCGTGGCAATAATAGTCACCGACATCGACCTCAGCAACCTGCTTAATCGACAACGTCATCGAGTACCGATCCTCCTCGTCGCGCACTCGATCAACCGCGATATCGTACTTCCCCCCTTGAATGACGGGCGTTCGATCTTCGCGACTTTTCCAAAACAACATCTTCGGCTCGGGATGAGCGTCAACTTTGCATTCGAGCTTAACCGTGTCGCCGAGCGCCGCTATCGTCACGCCTGTGGCTTGGATATGCGGTCCATCTGCACACAGTGAAATATAATAATAATAATAAGCCATTTATTTGTACATAAAAAACAACAAAATATTTTTCACTTTAAACTTAAAAATTATTACACTACAAATAAATGTATAAAATCTACGGAGTTTCATTCACACAAACATGGGTACACTGGACAATAAAAAGAAAAGAGAAAAAAAAACATATCAACACTGAATTCATACCTGCAGCATGATCTATGTTTAAAAACTTGTTAATATCATTTGTCAGGTGCAAGGTGAATAACTTGATAATAGAATTTAAAAAAAAGAAATAAAATAAAAATAAGCTAAAAATAAAAATAAATAAAATAAAGGGAAAGATGATAAGTAACAAAGGACTAATAGTTAAATTAAATTTGAACTAAAAGAATGTTTCGAACCTCTTGTATACTCATTGAAGCACAAATTTTTTTTACATTTTTCAAAAATGATTTATTCGATAGAATAAAAAACGAGGAGATATTGTACTTTAGTTGAAAATGGTTACCTATAGACCTTGATTACATGAAAAGTGAAGTTTTTTGTGCAATTTGTTTGTTAACTGTTATATTGTAAGATAAACTTAAAGTTTTGAATCTTGTAGTGTAGTTGTGAGTAGGAACATTAAGCAGTGTAGACTTGCTTTTGTAGATGTATTTTAATAAGGTGAGTATGTAAAGATGATAAATAGAATACAACTTAGTTTCTTTAAAGAGTTGTTCTGATGATAGCATTAACGGTTTTCGAAATAATATTTTTAAAATTAGTTTTTGGACAATAAACAAACGACTCATGTAAACATCTGGTGTTGACCTCCATGTTAATATCCCATACGATATTATAGATTGACATACGCCGTAATAAATAATTTTCTTGGAAGCGACACTCATTACACTGTTTATAGATTTAAAAAGATATATTAGTTTCCTTAATTTGTTGGTTAGGTATTGAATTTGAGTATCCCACCTTAGGCGGCTGTCTAACATGACCCCCAAATACTTCACAGTATTACATTTATTAATTTTTATGTCACAATTACATTGTCTCATTGTGCAATCCTTTACGTGTATGAGCAAACTGTCTACATTATCTACAGTGTAAGAGGACTTTTGGTAGTTTAACGTTAAGATGTTGTTATCTAGCCAGTGTTTAATTATGCTCATATGACCTGAGGTTGTATCTATTTTTTGAATCTGCCGAGACAAAGAGTACTGTATCGTCTGCATACGAGAACAACTTAGCATTTTGCAGTGATAAATTCAATAGGTCGTTTATATATATTATAAAAAGTAAAGGTCCCAGAATAGATCCTTGAGGAACTCCAAACCTTACAGTCTTTTCAGCACTCATCGTCCCATCAATTCTTACAGCTTGTGTTCTATTGTAAAGATACGATTTAATAAGTGAAAGACTAACGCCATATTTAAATAATTTATCACATAATATGTCATGAATCACTGTATCAAAAGCTTTAGCAAGATCTAAGAATACTGCTAGACAATACTCAGAGTTATCAAGAGGCGTTATAATTTTTTTAACAAGGTCAGTCAGCGCATCTTCAGACGATTTATTTTTCATAAATCCATATTGTGATCCTGAAAGAATATCAAATCTTTGGAAGAAAGACAGTAATTGTTTGTGAATAATTTTTTCAAATATTTTTGACAAACAACAGCTGGTTAGTGCAATTGGTCTGTAATTACTTACCTTGGTCTTATCGCCACTTTTATGTAAAGGTATCATAATTCCATTTTTTAAAACAGTAGGAAAATATCCCTCAATAAGACAACGATTGTATAGTGTGGATAATGGTAGGGTGACGGAATGTGCGATAAGTTTTAATGTACTCGAAGAAATATTGTCATAACCACCCGATACTCTTACTTTTAAGTCTTTTATAGAGTTTTCTACGTCTTTATCAATGATTGGACACCATGAAAAAGTTTTTGTAACAAAAGAGATGGTATCTTTGTAAGTTCCCGAGGTACTGACACGAAAAGCTAACGTTTCGGGAACGGATACGAAGTAGTCACTATTTCACTCATATCCTTCACTACGTATCCATTCTCGTCAATTATTCGTTTTATAGGGACCTTTGATTTTTCTATATTAGCCGCCTTTTTGGTCGCTAACCCATAGTTCAGATATATTTTGAGTATGTGCAATATTATTTTCAAAATATTTCATTTTTTGAAATTTTATTAAATTACTTACTTTATTTCTTTGTTTTTGATATGACAGGTATGTTAAATTATTTTTATTTTTTAAGTATAGTTTGAATAAATCTTGTTTTATTAGAATTTCTTGTAATAATTCATCTGTTGCCCATTCTTTCTTCTTTTTAATTCTTTTGTTTTTAATAATAGTAGTAGAAGCAATCATTTTTTTGCAGACGTTTATAAAATGATTAAACGATTCCTCAATGGGCAATAATTTTAGAACATCCCAATTAAATTGCTGGAGGAGTGTGTTCAGTTTACAGTAGTCAGATATGTTAATACTTTTTAGCATTTTATCGTGTTGACATTTTTCTTTGACTAATTGAAATTGTAGCTTTAGTGCTATTGGACAATGATCAGTAATTTGATCTGTAATAATAAAAAATGTAGCAATCACATTTTTATTAGCACATTTGAGAAAAATGTGGTCTATGCATGATTGTGAATCACCAGATATTCTTGTAGGCTTGTTGATATATGGAACAAATGAAAATTCACTCAACAAATTTAAATACGATTCTGTTACATGATTTCCACTGTTTAATAAATCTATATTTATATCTACGATTAGAATTTCAACACAGTTTTCGATATGATTTTGAAAATATAATTTAAGAGAAGTTAAGAAGCAGTTGATATCATAAGATGGTGGGCGATAGATGCTTGTTATGATTATTATATTATTGTGCAGTTTTAATCGTGTTCTTGTAAAGCAAAACCCATTAATCACAATGTTATTAGAGGATTGTATAATTGTTGATTTAATATATATTATTACACCGTCATTTTGGTTTAGCTTACTCGCGTTGTAATTAAGATCATAGCCATCCAGTTCAAAGTATTTTGTACTTACGCAATTCCACGTCTCGCTTAGTACAATCACTCGCATGGAGTTTAGAAGTGGTTTGATACTTGCTAAATAATCAAAATTTTTTGCAATGGATCTAATATTTGTGTGAAATATACTAAACAATTCACATTTCTCATTTTTCACGGAGCTCGAAAATGATTGCAAATTAATATACTTATCATCGATACCAGGCAATTCATTTGCTATTTCTATCATTTAACAAAATGAAAAAAGAAAAAAAAACGGAGGACAAAAATAAAGAAACAAAAAAAAACAAAATCAAAAATAAATGATAGTGATGAAAATAGAAAATTTAAACTATACGTAATGCGTTAACAATAAACAAGTGATTGCATCGTTCTCCCATAATTATATTTTTAAAAAAACACACACAAAAAAAATAAGCCTGCTGCATAAATAGTAAAGTAGCAGTAATAAAATACAAAAAAATAGAACAAAAAGATTCAGTTCTATAATCATCTACCTAATTATCACATAATTTTTTTTTTACAATTTTTTTTACTTGTTTGAAAGACAAAAAAAATCAAAATCAAAATCCCATTTAATTAGCATTTCTTCTTTAAAAACATAATTACCCTCTAAATGACCAGTATTAACAAAACAAATTCATAAAATTCTTGTTTATTTCAACAGTTCTAAGTCCCCAGCCTTTGTAATTTTTACACACGGTGCACCATTACTTTTGCGCATAAATATTTTACAGTCTCTGGTCTATAAGAAAGCATATTTTAGTTATATATTTTTTAAGACAACTGAAGGTCCCAAGAGGCATAGCTCCCAAACGAAATACTTTGCACCCCCAGCTAATTTAGATAGAACCCCCCACCTAGTGCAACAAAGACACTTACGGCTGATTATGATCTTTCTCGACGCCTGCATCGGCGTGCCGTACCCGTTGTCGGCGTAACACGAAATCTGGTCCATATCCCTCGTCACGTTGTTTATGACCGTGACCATATGGCGCGTGATCTCCTGCCGTACCAGTCGACCGGTGATGTACAACGAAATCGTGGGCATAGGCGTGCCCATTGCTATGCAAAGGATCGTCATACTGCTACCCTCCATCACCAAATTTATCGGATGCACGGTCGGGGGCTGCGAAACATCAGCAAAATTGAAGGTGTTCAGCTCACGGACTACTCACCTCCACAAATGCGGGGTAGGCGGGATCCGTCCACGCGATCAACGTCTCCGAGGGCGTACTTTGCCCCTTGTCGGATATCGCGGTGACGTATACGATATACTGGGTGTTCGGGTTGAGCTTCTGTATCGTATGCGATGTGACCGAGATGTTCGTGATCTGGTAGTGATCGTCCGCTGTCGATTTGTGGTAAAGTCGGTAGGTGATCTGCTGGGACGGAAGGCTGAAAGCGGGAGGTTGCCACGTTATCGTCACCCAAGTCGCACTGTGGCTCGCTATCGCCAGCGAATGTGGGGGAGATGTCACCCCGCTGACACGTTCGCCATCTGAAGGACATGGTAACTTAATGGCTTACTGTGACGAAGTTTTCGGTACCTGATTTGGCCACCTGAAGTGTAAGTATCGACGAAGGTAGAGATGTGCCGTGCTGGTTTCGGGATACAACGAACAGTTGGTAGAAGGCGCTCTTTTCCAAATTTTTTAAAGTGTAAGATGTATCACTCACGTTTACTTGCTATAAATAAAGTGTTAATGGCAGTTGGAAGGCGGAGACAACTTACATTGTCTAGTTTCAGTATGGTTTCGTGCATTGATGTATTTTCAACCTTTTGGTAGTAGAGAACGTAATCGGTTACATTACTGCCATCGTCGGGGGATTCCCATTCGAGCGAGATACTATCGTCGGTTGTCAGCGTTGCGTGCAGTTCTGCGATTGGTCCCGGCAGTAATCCTGTACCTAAATACATTGATATCTTAAGATTTATATTCCATACATAGTGGACACCCTGTATATTAACGTCCTGTGAAAATTTACTTAAGAATCTATTTCTGCCTTTAAGACATCGTAATTATAGCTGATGATCCCACTATACACTTAGGTACAAAATTTCCATGCCCAAACCCTCATCGGCCATGGGTTGTCTTGGTCGCAAACGATCATTCAACCCAATGGGTCAAGCTCGCCGGCCGTCCAAACTACATTGCCTCTAGAGCCTTCGCGTGAAAAAATGACGCTGGCCGTCCGGAAACAGACATTTTCCCGCAACCCAAAAAATGTCAAAATTGTAACGATTCGACCATACCAAATAGAGTCATTAAAGTCTAATGTAAAATAAAGCATGTGTGTTGCGGAAGGGAATAATATTATAAAGATAAAATGGATTACCTGTTTCTTATTCTTTTCTTCACGAGTGCGGAGTGAATCGCGACCGACCGGTATTATCGTTTTTATTTTTAATGGCACCTACTTTTAGCTGTCACCAAAACGCATCTCTCCCCCTACTTGGTCTTTTCCACTTTCGCCTCATTCACTTTTAGGAACCAAACAGGCAGGAATAAGAGATGGGAGAATTAGCGGAAAATAGGAATATAAAATGTTGCTCAAAATAGAGCTAAAAATTAATGAAAACGAAACATTCCGCCCGCTTAAAATGAAAGGTTCATTTTAACAAATTTTAATAAAGTAAAAAAAATGTTTAAATTTCGCCATCAAAATAAAAAAAATTCTATCTTACACAATTTATAAGAACTTCATGAGTAACTTAAATTTAATTTAAAGGTAAAGCGCACACTTTACTAACAGGTCGTTGAATAAGACCTTTTGTTAGTGCGTAAGGTAACAACCCTTACAACACCGTCTTTACCGGGATGCACTTGAGCAACTCGCCCCATGCTCCATTTTAGAGGAGGCAAATCGTTACCTTTAATTAAAACTAGAGTGTTCAACTCAATGTTTACAGTTTTATCAGTCCAACGACTTCTTTGTAATTAACGTCTGGAGGTACTAGTTACTGTAACGCTTCCAGAAAGTTTGATGTACCTGTATGTTGTAATAACCGCCAACGCGAAAGCCTATTAATTTTATGGTCGCCCAAATCAGGCTCCGGAAAAGAGTTCAAGGGCTCTAAAGTCAAAAAATGGCCGGGTGTCAACACGTTAAGGTCATTGGGATCTGAACTCTGAGGGTGAAGGGGCCTAGAGTTTAGAACGCCCTCTATTTGAACCAGAACGGTATTGAATTCTTCGTAAGTGAGAATTTGGAATCCAATTACCTTATGGAGATGGGTTTTTCCGCAGCGAACACCGCTTTCCCAAATTCCGCCAAAATTTGGCGCTCCAGCGGGATGAAAATGGCAATTTATTTTGTGACAATCTGCTGCTACATGCACGTATTTATTTATTTCCTTCCAAGCACCGCAAAAATTAGTGCCACAATCGCTATAAATATCATTTACGCGCCCGCGTCTCGCGATGAAACGACGTAAACAAGCGAGGAAAGTTTCACTGGTTAGATCAGAAGCTAGCTCAATATGTAAAGCTTTGGTCGCCATACAAACGAACAAGCACACGTATACCTTTAGGACCTTAGCTCCTCGAGTAGTTTGTAGTTATGGAAAATCGGCCGGCATAATCCACACCTACAGAAGCAAATGCTTTAACACTTGAGAGCCTAGCAGAAGGTAATTGACCCATGATGGGTTGAATAGAGGAGGGATTAACTCTAAAACAATTATAGCACTTAGAAATAACCCTCCGTATAGTGCGTTCAAAGGAGATAATCCAGTATTTTTGTGATAACAAATATTGGAGAGTTTGAGGACCAGGATGTAAATAAATCTTATGTGTATACTCTATGATCAGATCAGTTAATCGATGCCTAGCTGGGAGTAATATAGGGTGTTTTTTATCGAACGCTAACTTAGCATTTTTTAAACGACCTCCCACACGGGAGACATTAAGATCCAAAAAAATCCTGAACGGTTTAGAAAGCTGCCTATTTGATCTTAAAGCAGAAATTTCTTCGGCAAAGCACTGATGACCAATCTGATAAGAACCAAAAGTGCATCTTCTAATTCGAATAGAGAAAAATTGTGGGTTTTTCGATTTTCATTATTTTGACAATTAAAAATAAATCTAAGTACATAACACATTTAAAAATCTATCAAGGTCAGATATTTCAGTAAAAAGTACCAATGTAGTTTTGCGTCGTTCTTTCGTAAAGTTCAAAGTTGCTCTGTGGCCAAGATGTGGAGGGTTCACTTAGCCATTGGGGCCCCGCCCGCCATAGAGTATTATTTAATAAATCCAGAGGCAAGAGGCCTCGCGAGCCAGGGTCCGCGGCATTATCCTGGGAAACTATGTGGTGCCAATTAAAGGGGGGTATTCTTTCTCTGATATAAGCAACTCTATTTGAGACAAAAGTATTCCACTTACGTGAATCACCCTTTATCCAACATAACTCAATAGTACTATCTGTCTAGGTGAATATTTTAGAGATATAGAATTTATCTTTATAAGTTTCCTGTACAAAAGAGAGTACCGAGCTTAATAAAACCGCACTACATAACTCTAGGCGAGGAATAGATAAACTCTTTAAAGGAGCAATGCGAGATTTTGCAATTATAAAATGCGTCTTTATAGAGCAGTCCTTACTAAGAACTCTAAGATAAACTACATCACAATATGCACTTTGACTAGAATCACACATTCCATGTAATTCATCTGAGAGAAAATGATCTAAATTAATGATTTGACGAGGAAATATTATCTCAGACAAACAATGAAGTTGGGAACTGATTTTATGCCACGATTCTTGAATATGTGAGTGTACTTGAGAGTCCCAATCTACAGCACTAGCCCAACAGTGTTGAATTAGGACCTTTAATGTAACTGTTAAAGGTACTAAAAAACCTAAAGTGTCATAAATACGTGCGAGTTATGACAACATATTTCTCTTAGTACAAGGCAACCTTCTTATTCCGACTTTAAAGGTAAAATGGTCCGATTTAAAATTCCACAACAGACCTAAAATTTTCAGAGTCGCTTGCGATTCCATATCAAGAGAGAACGGATCTACTTGACAATCCGAAGGGGGTAAGTGAGAAAGAAAACGGGGGTGATTTGAAGCCCATTTGCGTAAAACAAAATGACCAGTTTTCAAAACCACTATTAAATCTTTTTGAAGTTTTAACGCCTCTTCCAACGAGTTTTGTCCCGAGAGTAAATCGTCTACAAAAATATCACTTTGCAAAATTTTACATGCAAGAGGGTACGATTTTTCTTGCTCCATTGCCACTTGCATAATCGTTCTCAACGCCAAATATGGACTGGAGCTAACACCAAATGTAACTACTTGTATTTCAAAATCTTGAATAGCTTCCGAAAGTGAAAAACGATACAAAATTCGTTGGTATGGGGTATGTTTCGAGCTTATTAACATTTGGCGATACATTTGCTTTATGTCCGCGGAAAAAACTATTGAATGAAGCCTAAATTTTAATAATATAGAGATAACATCTTGTTGCAATTTTGGTTCTGTTAAAAGGCAATCGTTTAAACTTTTATTATTCAAGTCTACTGCGCTAGCGTCAAACACCATTCTAAGATTCGTGGTAGAGCTTTCAGCTTTTATAACGCAGTGGTGAGGGATATAATAAAATTGATCTTTATTTTGAGTTGGGGAAGGCAGGGGTTTCACTTGATTTAAAGCTAAATATTCTTTTAAACACTGGCTATATTCTACGTGTAGAGTTGGATCTTTTAACAATCTTTTTTCGAGAGATTTAAATCTTTTTAAGGCACTTTCTCTAGATCCAGAGAAAGAGGGTTCTCCCCCCTTGAATGGCAGTTCAACAACGTACCTACCATGCTTATTTTTAAAGGTCGTATTTTTAAAAAGTTCTTCAGCTGCTAAATCTTCTGAAGAAAACTTTGAAGTGCTTGGGACCTCTTCTAATGCCCAAAATGTTTTAATAAAGTTTTCAAGATTGTGAGTGGCTAAACAAATATCTACTGATGGACTGAGATAATGAGCATTTTTAAATTTACCCGTCACCACCCAACCAAACAGGGTTTCTTGCGCAACGGGCTCATCATAATTAGTAGAAATAGAGTCACCTACAAGTAAAAATCCAACAATCTCCGCACCTAAAAGTATATCTATGGGGCTATATTTGTAAAAACTGGGATCAGCTAAAACCAAATTTGAAAATTTATTGAAGTGTTCTCTAGATAAAGATTGAGAGGGTTGATTGTGGCATATTTGTGGTAAAACAACAAAATCTAAATCAATATGGGGTTCACATCTTCCAACAGGTTTAATGGTACATTCACAGTAGCCTGCCGCGCGAGTATTTCTTTGACCTACGCCACAAATATTAATTGAGAGAGAGTAAGAGGTTAATCCTAATTTCTTAAAACACTTAGACGTGATTAAATTAGTTCGGGAACCACCATCAAGAACAGCCCGTACCGTTCTAAAATTTCCAAACTTATCTTTTATATCTACAAGAGCCGTCTCCAGTAATGTGCAATTATTGAAACCGGAGAGGGTATTAACAGATTTGTCAGTAATTTGACTCGTATTAGAGAGTAAACAATTTGTACTGTTTGATACATTTGAGGAAGAAGCCTCCGTTGGCGCGTTATCATTTAAGGGGGAAGTATTGTTTTGAACCAAATTAGTACGGGGGTTAATATTAATATGTAAAAGCGTGTGGTGTTTACGTGAACATTTCATGCAAAATATTTTGCTATTGTATTGTTATGCGGAGTGTTTGCTTCCTAGGCAATTGGAGCACCATTTTTTTTCTGTAATTAGAGAGAATAGATATTCGGGGGTTTTCGCCAAAAAAGAAGGGCAATTGTAGATATCGTAATCTTGTGTACAAAACTGAAATTTTTTATTAGATGTCGTTGGATTAATTGCAGTAGCCGCAAAACTAGCTGTGGGTCTTGATTTAAAATTATTATAATTATAAGAGCTGGGTTTCCTATCATTATTTTCTGCAGTATTTTTTTGCCATTCGTGGCAACTGGATTGTCGTTTGCAATTATTAGAATATGAAACCGTGTCGAGAGCCGCGCATTCCTTATTTAAAAAATCGGTTAAAATTTTAAATGTTTTATTTTTATTAGAGCAGTCTTCTAAATCGGACCCGCACTCTAGTTCAAATCGAGTGTCTTTATCCAATCTATCAGAGAGCATCTGAAAAAACACAAAATCCCAGTGTTCCGTGGGATATCCATATCCGAGATTTGTTAGACCGGAAATATTTTCCAAAAAGGTGTCAATAAGGGTGCGAAGAGCTGTTGAAGATTCAGAGGGAGAGATTTGTTTGCATAATTCAAGAGAAACCCAATGGCTTTGAGCAATTAATCAACCTCATAATTTTTTGCAGTCAAAGGGATACACTTTAAGAGAGAGGCGCGCCTTTTAAATAACTCAAGTGATAATTGAATTTTTAGATCTCAGTCAGGGAAGCGTTATTATGTATAAGAGTATCCAACATGTCGATAAACGTTTGCCACAATTTTAAAGTACCATCAAACACAGAAATTTCTATTTTGGGAAGTTTTGCGTTTGGTTTGGAGAGAGAGACATTTGGAACCTGAGTTTGAGTGGTAGTATTGGCATTGGTTACAATATCTTCAAAAGGAGTACTGTGAATACCTTCGATTTCATATTTCATAGTATCAAACGCAATCAAAATTTCCTTTTGAGTAGTTAACTCGTCAGCACTATCTAAACTGGCGTAAATAATAACTATGTAATTATGAATTTTCATAAAACTTTCATACGTAGGCTCTATACTTTTAAAACGAGCCTGAAATGTTTTCTGTTGCTTGACATCAATAGCTGCACCCCTTGCCAACAGATGCAACTATTCAATTTTAGTGATTTCGATATCGCGTTGAGCTAAATAGAGTTAAATTTTTTTTGGATCGGCCATGGTAAAACCTTTTGCAAAGTTGAGTACCTATATTTTAAAGTAGGTATAGAGAGAGAGAGTCCCCTTTTATTATTATTAAATTTATAAATACAAAAGAGAGTTTAAGGATTTTGAGTACGAGACTAAAGGGCATAAAAATCGCCCAAAAATATACATATTGCGCTCAGAAGTGCCTTAAAATTATTTGAGAAATTACTGTAAACATCGAGTTGCGTTTCTCGAATTAATATTTATATTAAGCGAAGCGTGGCGATATTCAACGTTTTGTACAGCAACGCGTCCGAAAGTTGATTTGAAAACCGCCTATGAAAATCGCCTACACATGCTGATAAGCGAAGCCGGTTCAATTTAAACAAAATTACAATGATGGCGTTCTTTAAACAAGTACACAATTAATAAAAATTAAAATTTTGAACTGTTTAAAGTTTTGATCAGCACAAGAAGGATGAAGAAGAATTAATTTTTTTTAAGGAAAATCCGGGACTGGAAGGACCAAATGTTGCGGAAGCGAATAATTATAAAGATAAAATGGATTACCTGTTTGCTGATTCTCTTTTCTTGACGAGTGCGGAGTGAATCGCGACCGGCCGGTATTATCGAATTTTATTTTTAATGGCACCTACTTTTAGCTGTCACCAAAACGCGTCTCTCTCCCTACTTGGTCTTTTCCACTCTCACCTCATCCTTCTTATCAATTTTAGGTACCAAACAGGCAGGAATGAGAGGTGGGAGAATTAGCGGAAAATAGGAAATGTTGCTCAAAATAGAGCTAAAAATTAATGAAAACGAAACAACTTGAGAAAATCGAGTGAATCCTGAAATAAAAAGTCAATGGTAAAGTACAAACCTTCTTCAAAACAGAGCGCTATGTTGCCAATGTACGGTATACAACTTGTAGCGGTGACGAGTAACGAATCAGTCATAACGCCCGAGCATAGCGAAGTGCATGAGGGCGGAACGCCTCGCCGAGTACAGCAGCTTCCGTGATTTCTTCCGCCGGCACCGCACTTGAGCAACTTGTAAAATTCGGCCCCGCAGACGCCGGCCAAAAGCTTAATGTCGGTCATGCTGGCGTCGTACGAGCAAAGCGGCAGACAGACGCTACTCAATTCGGCCTCGACGCAGCACGCCGTCACGTTGTAAACGGATGCCTCCACGATCTTCTCCTCGAGAATCTGAAAGCGGAAGTTTTACACGCAAACCGTGCACGGCAAAAATCTACCTTGCTGACGGTTTTGAACGTGAGTCTACTGCTCGGCTCGCCGACACCGTGCGAATTCGCCGCCTCCACGTAAAACTCGTAAGCGGTGTCGCTCTGGAGACCTTCTAGAATGTAAGGACTGTGCACCATCGCGATGGACTTGTACTCGTTATCGTAGCCCGTCAGCATGCGATAGTGGACATTGTAGTCCAGGACCGTGTCCGCGAGCGCCTTGGGTGCGGACCAGTGCAGGATGGCGAATTCAGTCTCGATGTTTGTAATGTGAACATGCAGCGGAGCGCTGGGCAGCACACCGTAGCCTTGCAACAGGCAGTTGGTGTAATCGCCCATGTACCGAAGGCATCTAAAAGACTTTGAATTAAAATCGGGGGGTGGTCGAACCGAAGACACCTACTTGAAGTAACTGTAGTCGATCGAAGTAACATTCCCACTACAGAGCTGTTGGCAAATAACAGGCAACCCCCTAGCTTTACAACAGGGCGAGTGGTCAATTCCATTGATCAGGCACCTAAAGGCATCCGTCGCCCATGGGGCGCATATCATCAGATCGGTTATTTCAGTCGTGTCGGCCACCAGAGGATCGCACAGCTTATTTATGCAATTCTTATGCGTTATGCCTTTCTTCACGCAGCATTCTTTTATGTCGGGCAGCTCGGGCACCTCGGCGACCGCCGTCGGTTTAATTTTTCCCGGCGTCAGCGTCAAGCTTCTGACCGAGTACGAAGGTAGACTGCTTCCGTGACTGTTTACCGCGAGCACCGAGATTTCGTACATTGTAAACGGGGACAGGTCGTTTATCACAGTTTCGAGTTGGGAGTTAGGAACGCTTACGTTCGCCGAGTAGCGCAAGGCAGTCGACCTCTCCTCCATTGGATCGGATAGGCTTTCGTCGAAGGATCTCAAGGACGATATGTTCACCATGTAATGCGATATCGCATCGGAATTACTAGCCGGAGGTGCCCATGAAATTTTCAGCGATTTCTCTGTGAGCGCTTCGACCTCCAAATTTTCGGGCGGGCTTGGTAGTAATTCTGTGGGTAAATTGTAAGGGATTGACCGCAAGCTGTTGGTACCTACCAATTCCCTCCACGATGCATGCCAGTGTCTGCTCGGTGTAAGCCGCGCACGAAAAGTGGGTTTTAATATTATCAGTAATGGTCGTATACTCTCCTCTGCAGACATCTTGACAAATATCGGGAATCCTCTCCTGTATGCAGCACGGCACGTGGTTCCTGCCGTCGGCCATGCACTTTACTATCACGGGAAAATCGGACTCGCAGTTCTCTGGATCTTGCCCCGTATTTCCTTGAAGAAGACATCATTTATTTCACTAAAGATAATTTAAAAAAAATGTGAAGAAAACCAAAAAAAAATAAATAACTTTTTTTTGAGAAGTCTAATCGAAAAAGTTCGAATTGTTTTGGATTCTACGCACCAAAGTTAATAAGAAAAAGTGCTTTCCCGAGAAATTTTGGTGCAGTCGATTTTTGGTAAAAAGGAAGGTTATACACTGCCCTTTTTTTGAGCTCCGAAAAAAAAATTGTCTCAGATCGACCGGAAAAAAATTTTTCTTATAGAATGTGGCCTGTAGAATCCATAATTTCAAACAGTTCCAAGATTGGGCTACTAGTTCAAAAGTTACAGCCCTTTGAATTTTCTTTCGAAATTGGTTTCTAGTCTATAACTTTTGATTGAGAAGTCTGATCGAAAAAGTACGAATTGTTTTGGATTCTACGCACCAAAATTAATAAGAAAAAGTGTTTTCCCGAGAAATTTTGGTGCAGTCGATTTTTGGTAAAAAAGGAAGGTTATACACTGCCTTTTTTGAGCTCCGAAAAAAAAATTGTCTCAGATCGACCCGGAAAAAATTTTTTCTTATAGAATGTGGCCTGTAGAATCCATAATTTCAAACAGTTCCAAGATTGGGCTACTAGTTCAAAAGTTACAGCCCTTTGAATTTTCTTTCGAAATTGGTTTCTAGTCTATAACTTTTGATTGAGAAGTCTGATCGAAAGAGTACGAATTGTTTTGGATTCTACGCACCAAAATTAATAAGAAAAAGTGTTTTCCCGAGAAATTTTGGTGCAGTCGATTTTTGTTAAAAAAGGGAAGGTTATACACTGCCTTTTTTTGAGCCCCGAAAAAAAAATTGTCTCAGATCGACCCGGAAAAAAAATTTTCTTATAGAATGTGTAGTCCAGTAACTATATACATCAGACCATGCGTCAAATCCGGTAGTTCTGATTTTTTGTGGGATTGCTTATGTTGTTAACCCAATGTATAATTCAAGTTTTCGACATCGAGCGGCGAACGCAACATAGTCAAATATACTAAAAACCGAGGAATTTTCGTTTTCTTTTCAGATTTTGACGATTTTAACCCTGAAGGACCAGTTTGTCGAAAATAACTAACGAATACGCTTTGAAAGTAGACTAAATTGTTTACAATTTGAGGCTACAACCGTTTCTATAGACGTAATAGTTTACGAGATAATGCTTTTCAAAGTTTATCGATTTTTTCAAAGTCGAAAATTGTTAGCACTATTTTGTTGTTCTGTAATTCTATAAAAGAAAACGAGAGGTGGAAATGATATTCTTAATTAAACTTCAAAACAGTCATTTTATAAAAAGAAATTTTGTTTGACTTCCATCTAAGTATATTTTTCCTTCTTGGACGAGCACGGTTGAGCATCGTCCATTTCCTCACTTGAAAGGTTTGTGGCTGTCAATATCTTGTGCAACATCTCTCCACAATACATCGTCCACCATTTCTAGATCAGAAAAAAATCAGGGAAAATAAAAAACGGCATCAAATTATTGTAAAGTAAAAATATCCAACACTGAACTGAACAGAACTAAATCAAACGATTACACTCTTGGATCTTTGACATTAACAGCTAATGATTGTTCGACAGTTTAGTTGGCAACAGAAACTACCACCTTACAAAATTCATTATTCGTTTTATTTTTCGGCGCAACACCGCCCATTCTTGGCATCTGTGTAAAACAGAATAGAAACGTCACCCATAAAGTATTGTGAAAGATTTTTGAATTCGAAAAATTGACAATCTTTGAAAAGCATTATCTCGGTATCTATTACACCTATACAAATGGATGGATAATTTTGAATTGCGTAGGATTGATTAACGACCCTAAAACCATCTGGGATTGATAGTTAAAAAGGCTTTAACCAATTAATGATTAAACATGTCTGTCGGGATTAAACATCCGTCATTTTATAGGTAACTGAGTAGTCGCAATTAGTTTTGCACAAATTTTTACCTTGTAGACCGTGTGTAACCAAAAGAAAGCCATTGGTTTTCCAAAGCGACCGTAAACGGTCCTTTTTCAAAAAGGTTTAAAATTTGTGGTTTTGAGCTCGAGCGGCTGATTTAAAGAATTCGTTTTTTGACTCACGCGCACCAATGGTGATTTATTTGTTAAATAAAGTTCTCATTTTGGTGATTGCGCCCCGGACAGAGAATAAACCCATTATCTCGTCCAGTATAGGTACGTGAACAGATTCACGGCGAGGATAAATAAACGTGACTTCAGTTCGTCAAGAGTACGGGACCGTTCTTGGAAAACTTTGGGTATTTAGACAAGGAAAAATCGCCGATTACGACTCATCTGGAAATGAGTCCGGAAACATAGGGCAAGGTACCCAAAAGCTCAGGATAGTGTGGTATTTACGGTGAAATGAAATGAAAAGCTCAAAAATACCTTCCAAAATGCTCTGTATATTACAAAATCCGATGCAGTTCGACGAAACGTTCCTCGAAACGCAACAATCCGTATAGTTGTGGTTTCTGCTGCTGAAATTCTCCTTCGTCGTCTCGAACATGAGCGGATCGGCCGAAATATTCGGCGGAAGCGCTTCCAGTGGAATAACTGAAAGAACGCGCCAACTTCATTTGGGAAGTTGCCCTTTCCTGTACTTACCGCTTAACTTGTGAAAGCTTCGAAGGACCGGATTACTGTTCACCTCGCAAACGTATATACCGGAATCGGAGGGCTTGGAATTTTTTATGACGAGAACCCATACGTCTCCTCCCTTTGGAATTTGCTGAACTTCTCCGGATGCTGCTGAAAGAATAAAATTAGTATTAGAACAGAAGAGCCATTGATACTCAAAAATTCAAAATTTCTAGTTCAGTATCAACAATTTCCTTATATTCAAGTATAAGGTTCAAATTTTCCAACTATTTGCGTACAGTTAAAAGTCTACTTTTCCAGTAGAACTTTTTTAAGTGTAGAGACAATATTTTCTCCACTTCTGAGTCAAAATTATACAAATAAATTCCAAAAACCCTTCTTCCTAAAATTCAATTCAACTTCAAACCTAAACTCAAAGCGAAAACAATTTGTAGGTACTTATTAGGGGCTTTTCAAAATATTTGACTGAATCTTCACAAAATGCCATCAATTCCCGTATCTAAACTCAAGCCCAAGAAATTTTTGTATTGCAGAGAAGTAAAATTTCTCTTTGTTTCAAAGAAGTGCCATAAATCGAATTATAGGGCAAAATTTCGTTTTATTTTCAAGTTTAAAATCAAAACATTTGACTGCACAAAAATGAATTTCTGGGACTCCTCTGAATCTTCATAAAATTTTCGTATCATAGCTCAAATGCAAGAAAATGTTTTTTATTAAAGAAATTAAAGAAACATGTCTCAATACAATTAACAGTATAATTTCCTAAATTATTAATCTTCGAATTTTACCAAACTTCGAGTTTAAACGACAAAGTTTTCAAGCTTAAAATTATTTGAATAGAATTATAGAAATGAATTTCAGTAACCTAGAGAGTGAGTCTTCACAAAATCGAATCGATTTTTGTAACTCAATATTCAAGATAATCTTTTATTGGAAAGTAAGTAAAAATTTCCTGTTTCAGTAAAGGGGTAACGTTCGATAAGTGCCATCAATATTCGAGTCAATGGGCAAATTTTTTTCCATATGAACTTAAAACCTAAATTTTTGGGTGTAACGAGACCATTTCTATTTGAATTTTGTTTGTATTTTTTCCCCGACGAATTACGAGAAAGTAGAAATTTGTATTTGGTGGGGTTAAAAACTTACTCAGTAGGGGATTATTTTGCAAAAAATAAGGGATTATAAGCCTGGTACTGGAGCTAGTCGATGGTAAAAACAATTCACTTTACGTAATCTTAGATTAAAATCACAAGGTTTAAGTAAATAAAAGGGAAATTGTAAACCCCTTTATAAAATGGATATGCGCTATTTCATGGGAGAGTGGCAGATGTAATATTTAAGTGATCTGTGATCCTCTCAACTTTTCAGAAAAGGTCAACCAAATTCTGAGAGTAGGTTCATACTAAAAAAATGGATTATTATTGAAGTTCCTGCATTTCGAATCTTTGCTAAAATAGGTATATTTCAATCTCTATAATTAATTCGAATCTAAACACAATAAGTCCCAATTCTTCCAAACTTAGAATATAAGGAACACGTTGAAATCCCGAACCTAAATAGCAAGCTTGAAGCTGCACCCCCCTTTACCAATATCTAAAATATTGTTCTTCTTTTGTGTTGCTTCGTGCACTAACTCCAAAATTTATGAAAAAGTAAAAGATTAATGTAGTGAAACCTGAAACACAACAAACAATGCCATTATGATGGCAGTTTGATCGCAACCACAATTTTTCTTTTGTAAAAAATTTTCACTCCAGAGAAAAAAAATGCAACCCTTAAAACAAAACGTGCCATCTTATTAAACAAAACAATATTTTCTGCCGTTTCCCACTCAATCGATTATTAATATAAATTCCTTAGTCGAATGGAATTTGGATATTTATGAACCAGCATCGATATTACAGAAACTTTTCAAATATCGTCATTATTAAGTCAAGGAACGTTGATTTTTCATTTCGATTTAAGGTGTTAAAAAGCACCATCCATCTCCATCGATACCAAATGAACAAAATTGTAAAAATACGTTTCCGCTAATAACACATTCAACCCCGGCGTCGATTTCCGCCTTATTTATACAATCGCGGAGGAAAGTTTGTTTTCGTTTAATTTGGAAGAGAGTTATATATTTGCATAGTGTTAAGATGATGGGCAATTTAACTTTGAAAATTTCAATCGCGAACCAATCTTTCTCTCTCCTCCACTGATCCGCGACGAGAATATCGCAAATCCCTAGCTTAATTCCGACGCCAATTATCTGGAGAGAGTTGAATCGACAGATATAATTCCAACTTTTAATTCGATTGAAAACGTATATCGTTTCGGGGGCACCTCTCCCACAGGGCGTACTTACTTGAATCGTGGAGTACGGCGAACCGCTTATCGGCGGTAACGCGGGCATCGCCAGCGGTCAGGACTCTCCTGCTGTGCCTCTCCCTGTCCTCCTTTTTCCATAAAATCGAATTTTCGCCGATATCTTTAACGACGCAGGTAATAAGGGCGTCGTCCCCCTCATAAACGTGCACTGGATTCGTTAGGCTATCTTTCATCGACGGCAGACCTGTAACGGAAGAAATCTCCATTAGCATAATGCGATCGTTGGATAAACACAATTCGAGGTGTATTTCGAAGGGCGAAGACATAATTTTCCAAATGCCGTCGAAGCGCTAACGCGTAAAAATTCAAATTATGCCCAGATTGCAATTTAAAAGTATTCAAGAGGATTAAAATTTTAATTTTGCCGATCGATACGGAAATTAGAAATTCCAATCCACGCGCCAATACCTAAGTATGTGATGGTTTACATCATTTTTTTAGGGAATTTCGATTATGCTATTTTGAATATGTGCGTGGGAGGTACAGGATAAAGTTGCGACGTACATTAAATTATTGAATCCTTTAGTTAATTGATTGGGTTATTATGTGCTGAAGTAGAAAAGTAATTTTTTTGGCTAGAAACTCATATTTGGAATGTGACGGAAAGATGTAAACGGTACCTCTTCCGTGTTCCTGAACCATAAACGCTGCTTACCTAATTTCAAAATCTACACCGATACAAGAATTTTAACTTTAAAAGGTTCTAAAATGTCAATTTCTTATTTTTTAGGACCTCCCCATTGCCTTTGCATTGCGTCAATAATTTTTTCCATCGTAAAGCATACCAAAATGAAATAGAATGAAGAGCTTTCAGATAAGAAACGAGTGTGCAAGCAGATAAGAGTCAAAAAGCCACAGTGTGGTCGGTTCTACAAACCGTTCTTACGGGACATGAGGGAGGTAGCCGAAGCTTGATTTTCATTGGGGCCGTTTCGGCATTTGGGCTTGGGGAGTACCTATATTAGAAAATATTGGATGGGACACAAGGATTCTTCGTTGAACCTTATTTATTTATCTCTCTTCAGGCTTGTGACACATTACAGAGTGACCCACATAATGCTTTTTGTTAGAGGTGCCCTTGCAGAAGGTCTTAAGTTGTTCTATACTACTCCAGTATTTACCTTACGAATTAGGAAAACTGCAGGAAAACCTAATTCGGAGTAACCGGCGGAATGCTCGAAACTGAACTAAGGAAATTCCCATCTCTGCCACAGATAAAAAATTCTTACCTCAGCCCAGGTTCGAACCCCCGACCTTTCGGCTATGAAGTCCAACGCTCCATCACTGAGACACATATGTAAATTATATAACTTTGTGCAAGTTGTGTGCGGCATTTTAGATTAAGTAACAAATATTTTCAACTGAAAATTTCAAGACGAGTTGGTACGTGAGATTTTGATTACAAAAGTTGAAGTTATTTGCCGAATTACGAGGGAAAACTGTGCCTTCATTCCGACGAAACGATTGTCGTGTGTGCATTAAAACCCAATGTGAGTTGCTTCTGCAAGTAAAACTAACATAAAGTGGCGTATTTACGTGACCGAATATTTTCTCTGTGTTGAGTTATTGAATCAGCGCGATCGCGTTTAGATAAGTTTTACATCAAAAGAGTTATGGTCCAGGGTGCAAAACGTTCATTGCGTTTATAGTTCAAGACGATAAGATTATAATTTAAACGGCAACTGGTAAAAAGGTTACAGACGATAAATTGTGCTTTTGTTAACTGCTAAAACCCTGAGTGTATAAGGGTAAATTGAGATTTCTATACTGCGAAACATTGGTAAATTATACTTTTGGGTAAACAAAAGCTTTTTACTGATTCAATTTCGTCAACCATCTCTCGAGGCTCACTTTCAACGAGTAATCAAATTTGCAAAAGATCCAAACGTATTGCATAAGGAGTTCCACCATCCAATTTTCCGAATTCTTGCTACCTTTCAAAATGAGAAAATTTTGACTCATCGCTAAATGTAAGTTATATTATATTAAATTGTTGTTTTGTGTAAAAACAGAAATCGCGCGTTTAGGAGATTTTGGATTGCAATTGATCATCAAAATAATTTTAATATTCCCCAAGAAGTTGACCTATGATGCCTTTTTCCGAGAACAGAAAAAGCCCAAGTAGTCGAAGAATCCGAAGATTCGAAGTAATAAAAAATGCTAAAGGAACCGACGAAGTAAAGGAGTACAACGGAGTTCAAGAAGGCAAAAAGGTCAAATTGTTTTTCAATCGGCTTAGGGATGTAGATGCGTGTGGATCGAGTGCGTCCCCGGGTGGTGGATAGGGGGACGCACATACACACACACACCTAAATGATCGCAAAGCGACTGGTCCTCCGGTGCGGGTAGTGAGTGGCTCATCGGGGGTAAAACACTGGGGTGCAGTGTCGATAACGGTGTCCGTCGGATAGAGGGCAACCTCTGTGTGGCGGCCCCTTTCCTTCGGGAATTTGTTATCTTTGCGAACTTCAGGCGTTCTTAAGTTCATTGCATTCGAAGCTCTGCGGCTTGGGAGGTTTATTTTGTTTGCAGGCTTATTGTGGATCCGAGAACTGAGCTCACTTCTCTGGATGACATCTAACTTACATTAAGATAAGAGTTGTCTTTTTATGTTTTACTTGTATTTGTGAAAACTATTTTAAGATCAAGTAATCATTCTTGGTTGGAGTGTCTTTAAACTGGTATATTTCAATTAAAAATTAACTTATAATTTTGAACATTTGAATATTTGTATGTTACACTATGCCATTGTGGGGACCATTTTTGTTTTGCCATTTAATGACAATAAACTAATATTTATTTTGGTACTTGAATTGATTTTTTTGGGTAATACTCCCGTTTCTTTTCAATTTCATTTGGGAGAGGTCACGTTTAGAGTTTCAAGCTCTTAAAGTCATTATCACACTTAGGCTTAAAGTTACTAAATTGAAGATGGATGTTTCAAGCTTCAAATTTCAAAGCCGGGGTATTAAAGCTCGTTGGCCATCACATGAAAATAGAAATTTTTTTCGCAGTAGAAGACTTCCAGTGCAACACTCGTGGTGCATTTAAAGTCAAAATTTTGATTAAACTTGATATTTGGTACTCGAATTAACACTGGAAGGAAGATCCTTGTAATGCTGTGAGACTTGGTATGTACAGTTAAATGGGAATTTCAACATTTTATACTTGAAATCCAAGCCCGTAACCAGAATGAAGTAGAAGGGGTGGCCGGGATTTTTCTAGGTGGGGTTTAAGACTTTTTTGGTAAAGACTATAAGTTGTATGTAATGTAAAACCTAGGTTCTAGGTGGATCTCAACCCTACCTGGCCACCCCCTAGCTACGGACCTGTTGAAACCCGAAGCGTTCTCGTAAAACTTATCCCTTGAAGTTTAAAATTGAAGCCTTACACATGAGCTTTAACGTGTAGGGTTTATTGTGCGTTGTTAACCAACGAAACCAAACCTTTGTTTTTATTGGCTATTTTGTAATGATCTAATGACAGCGAACTAATGATAATGATTGTATAAACCCACCATAAATGTGAAATAGAGTTATGTGAACTTACAAATTTCAATCATTCATAGAAGATGAATTATTATAATTATTTTTTCAGATACCAGAGCCTCTTTCTTGTATAAATTGACAGTGTATAATCGATGGGGTGGTTTTCAGTCACCTTTGGCCCACATCCTACTAGAATTATTGTTCAATTTATTTTCTAATGGCGCCTAACAAAAAGTAATATCATTATTAATCCCCCCGAATGACCAAAATGGTCAGGTTTCGGGTAGAATATAAATACTTTCTCCGGTCACCTAATGACCCGAACGTAGTAGACGACATCGCTCTAAAATGGCAAGCACCGGAACTTTACTTTTCAGGTTTCAAAAGTGATAAATGGAGTGTCGTTCCGTGCATTTTCTCCGCGGAACACTATTATGACATGTAAGACATCTGACAGCCATATAAATAGAAAACGTTAGAATAGACGTTGAAGAATTACAAAGAGGACATTTCGCGTGTGCCAAACTTTCGGCTTATGAATTATCTAAACGTGGGACGGACCGATGTTCAAGATGGCTTCGTTCCGAAAGTTCCAAAGATCGGCGGAAAAGTGTAAAAGTTTACGGGGCACGTACGTCGCGCTAAAAATATTAAATACGTAAACAAAACTTCTCGCCTTTATAATTTCCATTAACGTTAAGGGAGGAAAATAAAAACTTTCTATTCCCTTAACACTCCCGAGAACTAGAAAACTTTATAAAGTCTCGGCTCTTTGCGCTTCTATCGAGGCGGGCAAAAATGTCAAAAAAAGAAAAGAAAATTTTAAACAAACTATTGCTTTTTTATCTGCGTCTAAACTTGTCATATCCAATATTCTCTTTGACAGCGCTTTCACGGGATTCAATTTTGAAAAATGTCACCGGGAAATGTACCTACCTAACAATTTTTTTTGTGTAATCCCTAAGAAGCCAGCTAAAGGATCGTTCGTGAGTGCAAGTTAGGCCACTCTGGTATTCATATTAGTTTATCGTACCTACATCCTTTAAAATACACTCATAAGATCATATTCTGTCAATTTATTACACGTAAATCGGTAAAACTAACGTTCATATTGCAGATTTTGCAAAGTTTATCAACAGGCCCAACGCAATTGCATCAGCTATAAAACAGGTAGGAAGAAGAGTCAGTGAACAAAAAGAAATTGTTCAGGAATCGGGAAGTAAGATAATCCGATTTTATTTCGAATTGCTTTTTTGCGGTAAAAATGCAGAAAAAAGGAATAATAAAGATGTTTTAATTAAAACAGTTGAGCATGAGATAACAAAAGAGAATATTTAAACAATCATTAAAGCGAAGCAAGAAGACATTTTGAAAAAATCTTTACAACAAAAACCGTGTATATCTTAAAACTGTTTTTTTCATTTTTTGACGATTTTCTCGAATTTTTGCTATAGGAATAATATTTTTTATTTTTGTTTATTAAAATATAAGTCTTCCCGAAAATTTTGCTACCCTGCGCACCTCTGTACGATGAAAAAAATAGTTCATCCCCTTGAAAAAGAAGTGGTTTTTTCAGAAACGTGAGATCTTGGAAACGGTTCAACTTTACGAGTCCAAAAAATTATCTTCTTTTTTATCATAAAACAATCTATGTTTCCTCCAAATTTCAAACCCCTAAGACTTTTTTCGCAAAAAT